GCTTTCTATTAATTAAATTGAATTAAAAGTTAACCCAACTCTGCCAAACCATGCCTATAGCTGTCATAATAAACAGACTCATCACACTGGGTATAGCCATAGGTTTCACAACACGCTAAAGCGAGGCAAGCAGAAAGTTACGCTACCTGTAGCGGATTACTGGGCCAAATGGCAGGACAGTTCCCAGAAGTCAATTGAAAGGTTAAGAGCAATGTTAGAGATGAGAAAACTTTTATGTGGGATTGGTGGTGATACTTAACCCATTGCCGCCGGGGAAAATGAACAAAAAATAGGGAAAATGCTGTGCCTATTTTCTATACTTTTTTGTTAAATGTCTGCCCATAGATGGCTCTGTTAGCGCCTGATTTGAAACACGTATTTTTCACTAGTGCCATGAATATCAATGGTGTTATTTTTATCATAAACATTGTAATTTTTATAATGTTTTTTAACATTAATAACAGCAAAATAAGATACCGTAAAATATTTCGTAAATCAAAGAAAAGGGTGAACGGGTGAGACAGGCGGTACTCGTAACTGGCTCATTGGTGATTTAGTACAAGTGTAGCCATCTATGTGTGAAAACAATCTAACAAGTAATCTCACAGTGGCCATGACATGGTATGCCCGGCGGGAATGGGTTAAACAAACAAAGGTGGCGCGCCGACTTTGAGCGCGTGAGTAGGGGACATCAGCCCGAATCACTGGCTCGCCGCGCTTTGGCGCGCCGCCGGCTCGTTTGGCTGCACGCCAGCTTTCGAGCGCTTTGTTTACACGCCGATTGGCGTCACCCGGCACCAAGGGGTTAATATGTAAACTGTGCCAGACATCTTGAGCTATGTCAGCAATTGTGCCAGACATCTTGAGATGAAAGATGTTCCTAACTGTATATAAAAAGGACTAGGCAAAAATCCAGTAAACCTCAAGGAGCATATATCTCTCTCACACCCTCCCAACTATGTTTTTGTTGTCTCCTGTTGCTGGGCTCTCAGCCATACCCCTTAATCTGTTTATACAAGCGAACACTGTAATGGTTAACTCATTGCCTCCAAGGCCATTTGATGTCCATTGTAGCTTTTGTTTTGTTAATTTTATTTACACTAAGTTGGCTGTACAAGTGCTTAGCCACCAAGGGGACAATTATTAGTATTGTAATCACGTGATTACAGATATCTTTAAGGCTTCATTTTTTTTCTTAGTGCTATGAATACTGTTAATATTATTATTGACATGATTATTATGTTATTAACAACACCTCATATATATATATATATATATATATATATATATATATATATATATATATATATATATATATACACATATAGAATGAGTGAGTGAGTGAGTGAGTGAGTGAGTGAGTGAGTGAGTGAGTGAGTGAGTGAGTGAGTGAGTGAGTGAGTGAGAGAGAGTGTGTGAGTGAGAGAGTGAGAGAGTGAGAGAGTGTAAGAGAGTGAGAGAGTGAGAGAGTGAGAGAGTGAGAGAGTGAGAGAGTGAGAGAGGAGAGAGAGAGAGAGAGAGAGAGAGAGAGATAGAGAGAGAGTGAGAGAGTGAGAGAGTGAGAGAGTGAGAGAGTGAGAGAGTGAGAGAGTGAGAGAGAGAGAGAGAGAGAGAGAGAGAGAGAGAGAGAGAGTGAGAGAGTGAGAGAGTGAGAGAGTGAGAGAGTGAGAGAGTGAGAGAGTGAGAGAGAGAGAGAGAGAGAGAGAGAGAGAGAGAGAGAGAGAGAGAGAGAGAGAGGAGTGAGAGAGAGAGAGAGAGAGAGAGAGAGAGAGAGAGAGAGAGAGAGAGAGAGAGAGAGAGAAAAAAACATAATGGCATAGAGTAATCAGGTGATATTTGAAGTATTTAATTAGCATTATCCTTTTCAGCAAGCAAAGTCTCTACAAAGACACCAAGCTCTGGTGTTGATGTGCCGCGTGTACGTGGGGAGCATCAGCTTTGAGCTAAAGGAAGACACTATACGTCAGGCCTTTGTTCCCTTTGGTCCAATCAAATCAATAAACATGTCGTGGGACCCAGTGACACAGAAGCACAAGGGGTAAGATTATCATGATATTTTAATAGGATTTCTATTCCTGAATTAATTCCTTGAAATATATGATAGGGATTTATGGGGTTTGTCTATTTCTATTCCTTAATTAATTCCTTAAAATATGTGATTTGTAGGGTTTGTTTAATGATTTTTAGATTAAGTAATCCTTGGTGTTCTATACAGATTTGCCTTTGTTGAGTACGAGATGCCAGAGGCTGCACAGCTCGCCTTGGAACAGATGAACGGGGTGATGATTGGAGGCCGCAACATAAAAGTCGGACGCCCATCAAACATGCCTCAGGTTTGTCTTGTTGTTGTGTATAGGATTTTGAAATTGCAGATTCTTTTACATGCATGCAGATATGCAACTTGGAGGCTTTACAGTTTGTTTGTTTTTATTTGTTTATTTGTTTATTTTTTTTAAGAGTTTGTAAAGCATGTCAATGGAAGAGAATCCTGTGTTATTTACATTAAGGGCAAGTGACATTTAGGAGTTCACTTATTTTATCTCTTTAATTGCAAAATGAAATTATGTGACTATGAGAAGACAATACAGCACTTCAGAAAAGAGAAACAAAAGTTTAAGCACAATATGACTGCTTTTTCTTGGCTTTCTCTTTGCAATTCTAATTAGAGGCTGAAAAGTGAAAGAGAGTGAAAAATGAAAGTATGGTAACATCTTGCTAAAAAGATTTATATAATTCTGCAGTGCACTAAAATGTGACCACCGTTTTGAAATGTATAAACAAATAAAAGGAGTGAATTAATTATTGGTAATAGCTAGGTGAATGAATGAAAAAAAGAAATTGATTTTGAGTGAAAAAGTAGATAAATAGATAACTCAGCATAGAATGCAAGATGTCAGAAAATAGCACAGTATGTGCATTGTGTTTGTTAATGTTTTATCACCAACATCCAAACAGTACACTGCTTGGATTTGTTTTCATACTGGTAATCTAAAAAAGAAAAAAAAAAAGAAATGAAATGTATGGTCTGGAATAGAATCATAACAATTGTGATTTTTTCTGCACCTGCATGAATGAAAATGTAATCTTGAACAATCTACATGGTAGTCTTCAGACAACTTGAGTAGGCATATGGATGCCACTAGTAATAAGAAGATATAATTTATTTCCCACAGAAAAAAGAAAAAAAGGGGATTATACAGAAGACACTCATTTGAGGAAGTCATGATGTCGACCATTGTCACTGTCTTTGATGACCAAACACAGGCCTATTGAGATCATTAGGTGATTAAACCATCCTAAGTGAGCATTCTTAAGATCCATATGTGGCACTCATTTGGGGGTTTATGCATGTACAACAGTGGCAGATCTAGTATGGAAGTTTGCAGGTTATATACACGCTTGTAAAACAAACATGATTTTGGTAAGGAAGGGATGGACAGCCCTTTGTTTATTAGTACTACAGAAAGTCTTTTATCATTATCATAATTATGATAATTGCACATCATTTAAATCATATGTATTTAAATTTAGGAAAAGTAGCTGTCTGGGACTAGCTTTCTTGTTTCAGGATGATTGATTACATGCTACCATGAGGGAAAGCATATTAACAAAGCTTTGCTATGTATGCAATCAGCCAGTTTGTTCTGCACTTGAATCTCTCTCTCTCTCTCTCTCTCTCTCTCTCTCTCTCTCTCTCTCTCTCTCTCTCTCTCTCTCTCTCTCTCTCTCTCTCTCTCTCTCTCTCTCTCCCCCCCCCCCCCCCTTCTCATACATAGAGCTGGCATGTGATACATGATTAACTCCATATCGAAGGGCCATGCGCTGATGTGTCATAACAAACCGCTCGATCTATAGCGTGCGGTTGAACGCTGCGGCGGCACGCCAAAGCGAGCCAGGGATTCGACTTGATGTAGCGACCTCCCTTGCTCATAGTCAGCTTGTTGCCATGAATCTCCAGAGTGTAGTGTTTTTTTATTTTTTTTCTTTATCCATCAGTTAGGGGTTAGTAGAGAAATGTCTTTAAGATACAAACTGGCTTTCACTTTGTTTTGTCCAAAGGATATTTTGTGGGTTAGAAATATCAACTGAAGTGTAACATAGAATGGTAAATCTCTTTTATAGTCAGACAAGAACAAGAGGATTCAGAAGCCACATGAATCCATGAGTTCAATTTGTGGTTGCTTATTTTGGAGCAGTGGGATGGGACAGACAGACATCAGGTATTTTAATTCTCAGTGCTGTATACAAGGAAGAATGTGAAGAAAATATAATGTGACACAAACACAGTAACGTGTACACAAAGATGAGAGGAGAACAGCCTCAGTAAGAGATTAAATTTCTTACTGTGGCTGTTTTGCTTTCATAATATAATGTAATGATATGATAAACTGGAAATGTCGGTACCAGTAAGAATAAAAAAGTGCAGATGATACAAGGTATCAGAAAAGAAGAGGGAGAGAATTTATTCATTCTCTTAAAAAAGATAAATTCAACATGGTGTCAGGTGTTCAGTTCATTTATTCAGGTTTCTGTAACTACTGTTGCTTTGGCAAAAAGAAATCACTGGTTTAAAAATAAACTGTGTCTCCCAGACTGGATTCAGCTGCCAGTTACTAGATTTTAGTTACAAAAACCAAAAGTTTTATGTGACTTTTTTAGCAGACTGCTTTATAAAGAATCCTGGGAAGTTATTTTTTCAAATATTTTGTTGCATATGTCTATGTCCTTGAAATGGATTGAAAAAGATATTTTGTGGGTCAGAAATATCAACGGATGGCTGCCCTGAAATTGATAATATTTTCAGACATTGGTTTCAAAAGCTTTTCTTACTAAGCAAAAATTTTAAAATTGCTGTTGCTCTGGCAAAAAATCTTCGCTATAGTTTAATATAAAGTCTTTTATCATAGTTTAGTATGAAAGAAGTGGATTGATTGTTAAAAATGTATTAGATGCAGGTAATTATAATTGTAATATACTAATCTTTTTAAATATGCACATAGTGGTTGAGGTTAAGTTTTACTAAAACTGAATATAAGTGTATTGCTTTGCTTTGAGGAGAATATTTATGAATATCATCAACGAATCGGCATTAGATGTATGAGCGTGGAGTATCATGTGGCAGGGGATAAGGAATTGGCTGTGATTGAGTGTTAAGTCATGGACGTTGTCTTATTCATTCGGTGACGGAAATTAAAATTGTATAAAGGTTGTATGTTTGCTCATAGTTATGAATTCATTTGTGTTAATTGAAACTGCTAAAAAGTGAACTTATCTTTAACCCTTAAACTGCAGAGTGCCTGTTTTACTTCCCAGTATGGCCATGTTGCACAGCAATCCAGTCTATTTTTTTCCACAGACATCAACTAGAAAGACTTATTAAATACAAATGAGGAAGTTACAGTACTCTCAAGCAGACCGTGTTGCCAGTGTGGAAAAAATACCAATGCAAAAAATTACAGGGTTGTAAATCATTCAAGATTATGGGCGTCATTGGAAAACAGCTCTTTCAAGAGACTTACAAAAAATTGATAAGTTATGAAGAGGCGTATAGCAGTTTATGGGTTAAAACATTGGGTGGATAATGAGAATGTGAAATATATTTTAACCCAACACCGATGGGTATCAGAAATCTCAGAGCATCATAAGCTCTGGTGATTTCTGGCAAAGCCCAGACACTGGGCGTGGGAGTCTGCTATGTTGTAGCGGAACTTCCCGCTCCACGCGCTCTGGCACTTTGTCGCATGTGTAGCCATACCCTGCAGACCAAGCAGTATGTTATGCCACCTGTACACATGATCCATCGGGAGGGGGTTAACCTTTTTACTCAGTAAATTGATAAATAATATATCCTTGTCTAATTACATTCAGTTCCAGTACTGATGAGTGGGGAGGGTAAATAACGTTCAAGTTTCAGTGCCAAGAATCAGTAGAGGATATAGAATGAGTTTTAGAACCGATATGTTCTGGTGGGGTCCATTTTCAGATTGGGACATTTATATCATGGAGGAGGTGATTTGGGAATATTTTGAAGTGAATAAATCTTAGAGGGAATCTTAATATATATAATGAGGATTAACAGAAAATGCTTTCTTGAATAATGAGCTTTCTGATATATCTTTGGCTAAATACGTGATGAAAAGCTGTACAAAAATTTGGGATTTTATACTTGATGCTGGTCCTAGTTTTTAGGATGCAGAATTCTGTAAATACTAAGATCCTTTATTTGTCCTGTCACAGAGGATAGTTTGAGTGTTTGCTAAAGGGCTCAGCACAGATTTTAGCAAGTCCTGAGCAATGACATGTTAATGAGTGAAGAATTCGTAAGCATTTATAGTTTACTTGCCATTGACAGAATTGGTCGGCAGCACAGGGCCATAGTGCCTGTGATGTTGCACAACCGAGACAGCTAATGACAAGGACAACTGATGGTGCAAGTATTATGGTATTTTTTGAAGACTGTCGTTCTGAATGGTGTCATTTGTCATGCTTTGTTGTGAAATACAATCAAATAAAAATGTCACTTGCCCTGTGTTGATAAAGCATTAACATATGTTATTTTAAAAAGCTGAAAGAACAAGGATATTTTGTGTGGTTCTGGTTGCCAAATCAAGCATTTATTTAGTTGGTAATATCTTTTATTTATTTATATACTTATTGGTTTCTTTGTCTTCTAAAGTGACCTTTAAGGATCACCAGCTTACTTGTTAAACAAACCAGGAAAATTTCAGTTTTAGAGTATTTGATGAAAGTCTTTGCCATTTTTGATTATTACAGTCTTTGTTCTCATTTTTTGTTTCAGCTTTGAAATTGCACTGAATTATAATTTGACATCAATTTACCACATATTCTGTGCTTTCATGTAGTCAGCATAGTCTTAATAATGGGTGGTGGTAGGGAATATTGTTATGTCTCATGTAAGAAACATAAAAACTTTTGTCACTTGTGTCACCAGGAAAGTATGCACTGGAATTCTCTGTGCTTTCTCCATGCAGGTGCGTGCAAAATCTCAGTTATCTTGTCGTCTACAGCTGTCTCCTTTGCTTGTTTTCAGGCCCAGACGGTGATAGATGAAATCACAGAGGAGGCAAATTATTACAACAGAATCTACATTGCTTCTGTCCATCAAGACCTCTCTGAGACTGACATCAAGAGTGTCTTTGAAGCCTTTGGCAAAATTAAGGTAAGCATGGTCTTTACGCTGCTTCATGTTAATTGATTTTCTTGTTATATATATATATATATATATATATATATATATATATATATATATATATATATATATATATATATATATATATATATATATATGTATGTATATATATATATATGTATGTATATATATATATATATGTATATATATATATATGTATATATATATATATATGTATATATATATATATATGTATATATATATATATATATATATATATATGTATATATATATATATATATATATATATATATGTATATATATATATATATATGTATATATATATATATATATATGTATATATATATATATATATATATATATATATATATATATATATATATATATATATATATATATATATATATATATATATATATATTTATAATGCATATGTTTTGTTTTCCTTTTCCACCTCTGTCATTTAATTTTTTGTCTATCTATTGAAGTAAGTGTGTATGTGGGAGAATAAAATATTATATGTAAAACAAGCTCATTGAAAGTCAAGATTTTAATAGATTTAATTAAAGTTTTAAGATCCCCTAGATTTCATAATTTTAGCAATGCTGTAGTGTTTTTAGGTCTCTCTCTCTCTCTCTCTCTCTCTCTCTCTCTCTCTCTCTCTCTCTCTCTCTCTCTCTCTCTCTCTCTCTCTCTCTCTCTCTCTCTCTCTCTCTCTCTCACATATATTTATTCCCTGTCTCTTTCTCTCTTTGTTTGTGTCTTTGTTTATACTACTCTCATTTGTTAAGGAAACCATGATTCTTTCAGCAATGTATGTTAACGCCAGGAACCACACCGGGCAAACACAAGGGCTATGGCTTTATTGAATATGAAAATTCACAATCTGCACAGGAAGCCATAGCTTCCATGAACTTATTTGACTTGGGTGGACAGTATTTGCGTGTTGGGAAAGCAATTACTCCTCCAGGATCATGTTATGTGAGTTTTGGTGTTAATGTAAGTTACTGTCAATTTTTCTGTTTTAAAACTTGTATAAAATACCTTCTATAAATCCAACTATATTGTCGGTCTGAGAAACTGTGCAGTTGTAGCTCTAGATGACTCTTCTGAATTTCAGGGTCCCTTATCAGCACCAACACAAATGCCAACTGCAGCGGCAGTGGCAGCTGCAGCTGCAACTGCAAAGATTCAAGCTATGGATGCCCTTGCAACAAATGCAATTGGCCTAGTTCAGGGGCTAAGTAGCTCTCCCAACTCAATGTCCCAGATACCCCCTGTGGGTGTAGTAGGTAGTGTACCCCCCATAGGGACAGTAAGCAGTGTTTCCCCAGTGGGAACAGTGCCACCTGTGGGTGTTGTTGGAGGAACACCACCTGTTGCTTCTGTCCCCCGTGGGTGTGGTCACTAGCCTGCCAACCAACATAGGGTCATCCAGCTCTTCTGGGTCTGCCATTCCACCTCCAACAGTCCTCACATCTTTACCTGTTCCTGGGTCTTCAGGATCTTCTCCAGCCCCACTGCCCCCTGCAACTTCAAATGCCTCAACGCCAAGTGTTGCAGGATCAACTCCGAGCTCAACTTCAAATGCATCAGCTGTTGGTGGTGAAGATCGCAAGCCCACACATCAAGAAGAATTGGCCAAGAAGTTGATGGAAGACAATGAGCCTCAAACATTACAACAGCAGGAAACCATGTCAATTAAAGGACAGTCTGCTCGACATCTTGTTATGCAAAAACTAATGAGAAAAGCTGAGGTGAGTGAGTTCATGCTTGCATCAGTTGTGAAGTCATTTTTATTGGATAAGAGAAAAAGTCATTTTATGATTGTACAAGTTGTGTCTTATGTATTCAATTTTCCTTTCATTCTTCCCAGTCAAATGTCTTAATCCTACGCAACATGGTTGGAGCAGAAGAAGTTGACGAGCAACTGCAAGATGAAATCACTGAAGAATGTGGACGATTTGGAACTGTCAACCATGTCATTATCTATCAAGAAAGGCAGTCTGATGAAGAGGATGCAGAAGTCATTGTCAAAATCTTTGTGGAATTTGCAAATCCCCATGGTAAGTTATGGAATTCCCTGTGTCCAGACTGTATCTAGACTGTAATTTTTAAGATAAAGTCTGTGTGCAAAATCCTTTCAAAATGTTATGCACAGGACACAAGGAGGAGACCAGACTAGTATATTATAATATGCACACTCCTCATATGTGCATATGTACATGCCTACCATATATGACTCAGGATATTTTATTAAGGAACTGGACCATGCAGAAACATCCTTCATTGCTTGTTCACTATTTCACCTTCTCTCTCTTGTATAGCTATTCCATTAATAATGAGAACACTATTACTTCTTTGTTTTTTGAAGCATTTTAATCTTTTGTAGTTTCCCTGCTTATCATAGTTTCCCATAACTTAAAAAGGAAGATACAGTAAATTAGACACAGATAGAAAATGCAAATTTTAGAAGAACTGAATTTAAATTGATATTTTCCTCTTTTTCTTTCAGAAACATCTACTGCACAAGAAGCCTTAAATGGACGATACTTTGGTGGTCGGCTAGTTAAAGCAGAGTTGTATGACCAGAACATGTATAATCACAATGATTTGTCAGGGTGAATGCTGCAGATATAGAGATCATTTCTTCTCCGAGGCATTTTAGTCTGGCACTTGATTCCTGTGTAAATTATATAAATATAGATCTATATAGTGACAAAGCTAATGTAAAACACACACAAAAAAAAAGGCTTTTTTTTATTATTTTTTATTTTGTTTTTTTAAATTACTGTTATGAGTGTTACTTTCATGATTGCATGAATGGAAGGACCCGAGTTCCTACAAAGTGTCATGTCATTTTTCACCGATCATCCCACTTCCCTTTTCTTGTTGTTTTAACCACATAAGGTTGAACAATGTGTTCATTTTGTTGTTTTTCCCTTTTTATGGATCCTAATGTATACCTGATGCACCTTTGTGAAAATGATTAGTAATGTTCCTCTGTTTGTCAAACATTATTTTCCCCCAACTTTTTTTTACATGTAAATATTATACATATAATATAGATATATATTTTTTCTGATTCTTTCCTGGGACTTGCATTCAAGATTTATAAAGCAAACAGTTATCAACAATAAAATGAAATTTCATAAAATGATTGAAAAAAAAGGAGTTATTGAGTACAGTTTTCACATAATTTAGCTATTGGATTCCAGTATTGAAAGAAAAATAAAAGGATAGGTCTTACACAGTCACTAGATGTTGAAAAGACATATCCCACAACAGGAAAGAAAAAAACAACAACAACAACAACAAAAAAGACGTATTCGTAGTTGCTTGTAAAGTAGATTTTTTTCTATTGATTTGTATTTCATATTATTTTTATAGTGCTTTTGGAGAAAGTTGTTGATTGCACTTTGCAAAATGATGCCCCCTCCCCCTCCCCAACTCCCTCACCCAAGCATTAAAGTTAGGATTGCCTTATTCTCTTTAGACAGCAATGTGTAAGACAGTACGAGTCCTTACTTAAATTTCATGTTGTGTCCGTTCACTAGTGATTGATTTCACAGAATCCATGCAAGGGAAAGAAAACATTTTGGGTAATATTTCTTAAGAATGAATTTTAACTAATAAATGATAGATTTATATTGGTCTTTTATTTTTCCTGTGTCTTGAATACCTGATTATAGATAATGGAGTGTTTTGGTGAAGATTAGATTTTTTTTATATTTATGCATCACTTGATTAACTTCGATTGTATTATTTACAATCAATCTTCCTGTTTTATGGAGACTTAAGAATGGATAAAATGTGTAATGAAGATTTGAAGAAAATCAGTCAGATTTTATTTGAGCCATTTTTCAAGGGAACGGTATGCATTGTCTGGTAGGGAGAGAGCATATTTTACATGAATATTGAAAGTATTCCAACACTGCATTATTAGTATCTGCTTAATTTTACATACTGACATTCATACAGGTAATGAATGATCTGCTTGGGGAAACTTTGTATATATTATTTTATATAGGCTTTATAATCAGTAATATTACATGCAATTGAATATGGACAGTAGGTCTTGCAGAAATAATGAAATTATTTATATAACAGCAAGATGAAGTAAGTCAAAGATTACCCCCCAATCCCTTGCCCGTTGTTGTCGTGGGGGGGCTTAGGAGGCGGAGACTGGGACCCAATGATGGGGAACTCCCCAACCTTGGGACTCAGCCCTCGACTCAACTAATTATGCATGGTCTTTTTTTTCCCTTCCCACTTTTGTTTCTGTCCCTTCACCAAACCCTTCTGCTATCCACCTCCTAAGGTGTGAGAGCCGTGCTGAAAGGATGAAAGGCTGACTTTGTGCCAGTCCTGAACGGCCTGAGGGAGCCATGGGCACGGTATTCCCCTGATTTAGTATCTAGCCCTTACCCCTCAAGGGGACCCTGAGGGGTGGACTGTTTTTATCCCCAACATAACCAGGCTTACCATGGCCAGTAATGAAAATATATCCCCACTGTTAGGGGCAATGAGGCTTGCCCCTTTATCAAATAGCCCCAAAGAAGTAAACCCACCCGATTCCCCGACCCCAGGCTCTCCTTTGACCACGGCTCCGAATACTGCAATAACTGCCCCTTCACCAATGCCTACTAGTACAGTAGCCAACAATCAACCCTCAAGGAACATTTCCACTCTCCCAGCATGCCCAACTTCAACACCTCTACCCCCACAACCTCCAACATCAACCACCCCATCCTCCCCTATTAATACCTTACAGCCTTATAGCCCACCTCTCCATAACACTACCTCCATCAACACTACTCCATCTTCGTCACGCCCTCGCCCTTCTACCACCCCTATCTCTAAAACAATCTTGAATACTCTCTTCAGTGCAGCCAAATGGGACCGATTTTTCGTGATCCCTCCCACAGCTCCCTACTCTGACAACACCCTTCTCTTCCAACAATGCCTCCAAAAACAAGTAGGTAAAGTCTCTTTCCGTAGCCGACCCGACCGCTCCCGTCTTGTAACAGTAACATCCGAAAACTAAGCCATAGCATTAACAAAACTAACTCGACCTATATGGTAACCCCATCCTAGCAGAACCCCATCCAACCCTCAATACTTGCACCGGAACAGTCTCAATCTCACCAACAAAGTGCCCAATCTATGACAAAGATTGGTCAGATTGTGGAGAAGATCTACTTGCCTGTCTCACAGACTACGATGCAACATCAGTACAATGCTACTCCATCCCCCCCAGAGGTCATCGAAAGAAACCCACTAACATAGCCAAAATTACCTTCCGTAGACATGACCTTCCCTTTAACGTCTACATAGGTGGAGAATCCCTCCCTGTTCGTCCATACCAACCTCCTCCACGTCAGTGCCAAAATTGTTGGCGTCTAGGACACCCAGCCAAACACTGCCGTTCCACAGCCAGATGCCCATTATGTGCCCAACCTGGCCATACCCGATCTAACTGCTCTGCACAATCACGCACATGTGCCAACTGTGGCGGCCCCCATAATGTATTTTATAGGGGCTGTCCCACCTACAAATTTGAATCTGAGGTAGCAACTCTCAGATTCAAACTCGGACTCACACTGCGTGAAGCCAGACAGGAAGCACGTCGACGTGGATTCTCTCTTACTCCTTACTCCAGTAATACTGCTCATTCTAACACTTCTCCTAAACCCACCCCTCCTACATCTAACCCCCCCACTAACCCCACCTACCTTCCCCAGTCAAACTCTTTTGCCATCCTAAATCCAGAAACTCCAATCTCTAATACAGATACTCCAATCACCACTACAACCCCAACACCTTCCCCTCTCCCTCCTCGCACTCCCCGTAACAGACAGAACAAACGTTCCACCCCCTCTTCCCCTACCACACAATCACCCCCACCATCCTTTGCCCGTACTCTTGAGACACCAGTCCTCTCTTCCCCCCCTCACAAGAAATCCTTTATCCCCCAAAACTCCCCAACCAACTCCACAGAAGAAACTATTGAAAATATTCAAGATTACTTATTGAAAACTGACACTCAACCTACAACTGCTCCTTCCACACTCCAAGTAATTGCTGATATCCATCCTCCTCCTAACGATATCCCCCCTACACCCTACCCTCCTACCCCCTCCCAACACAGCCCATCCCCCCTGACTCCAACCCCGCCCACATTAACTCTCCCACCATCCCCTCTATCCCTTCCACTCCCTCCTGGATACACACGTGAATCCCTTATGTCACAAGTATCCCCTTCCTCAGACCCTCCATCTCCTAATACCCCTCCTGATAGAACACCAACTCCCACACCTCTCCCATCTCAAACCTCTCAGTCCTTATCCCACCCTCTAGCTGCTTCCCCTTCAAATTCTCCAACACGTACTACAATCTATATCACTAAATCAACGAAAGTATAACTATCCTTCATTGGAATATTCGCGGTTTCCGCTCCCACAGACCTGACCATCATATCCTTTCCTCTTATAACCCATCTATTGTTTGCCTTCAAGAAACCTTTCTTATGCATACCCTTTATCTAATATAACACCCGACCTTAACACTTTCACTCACTAATTCCTTTGCCCAGCTTAGACAACTAATCACTAACTCAACCACCCTTCACTAACATTAACTATAGTGCTACATGACCTTAGATGTCTAGCACATTTATCTTGCTTTTAACCATTAACCATTAACCATTACATTATTACATCTTACATCTCACCATTCTTAAGAAAGGAAAAAAAGAACATTTTCACATTCAGTTTTCAGCAGATTTACCCTTAAAGGAGTGACTGATTTCTTATTAGTAAGAAGTGGGAGGAATTCCTTGGTTACCGCTAATGATTTGATTACATTTTCTCAGGTAACAAACTAACACAGAGGAAAGAAAAAGAAATAGAAAAAAAAACGTAAATACCCCTAACGACCTGAGAAAAGCATTTAATATGTAAAGTCAAACATCCGGACACGATCACATATTTGATTTCATTTTAATAAAAAGTTGAACTACAGTACTAGTACCTGTAATTTATGATTTACTGGTGATTTCCTCTTTCGATTTTGGATCGTGTTCACCAGGACCGTCTTGCTTGTGAAAAAAAAACGCAAAATAGATAGAGGCTTAAAAAAAAAAAAAAATGGACTGAAAAGTTTGACGTTACCCTAAGCCGGATTTGTCATGAGACATGTACCCTGGCATGTAAACAGGGGTATTTTTTTCTCAGTGGGTACATACGAGATTCAGAGCAGGAGATGGATTATGTTGGAGTTTGCCAGGGTGCCGATGGGGTACAAAGTAACAAAGGGTTGGAAATCCCTGGCCTAGATGGTCCAAACACCTGGCGTCTACTTTTCTTCTTGATGCACCTGTCATGTATGGGTGTTTGTGGCACCCCTAGCTTATGGCCTCGTTCCCTACTATGCTATACTACCTCATTATATATTTTGATGTTATATTAGTATTTTCTATGAGTTGGGACGAATAGCTTATAGTCTGAGGGTTCATGGAGAGAGAATTGTCGTGTGTAGAGGAAAACTGGCATGCCAATTATGTATACCAAGTGTACCGGTCTGTGTTTTTTCCCTGTCCGGATTTCACCCCTATAGAGCATCAACGTGCGTCATGAAAGCGTGAGTGTCTGGGTTCTATCCTGCCGGAACATACAAGGGGGGATTTTAGGTCGGGGGGTAGTGGGGGGGGGTTCGGTCGGGGGGTAGGGGGGGTTTTTCGGTCGGGGGGTAGGGGGGGGGGACTTTCTGTTACTCCGGTAATATATCACTTACAGCAAAATATTTTTTTTCTATCTTCTCCTTGCAGCAAATGGATACTGCGTATGTGCAGTAACTGTTTTTTTTCGCTAATAATTCGGAAAAAAAACTATTCGAGGATATGTAAAAAAATATATATATATACATATATATATGTATATATATATACATATATGTATATATATATATATATATATATATATATATATATATATATATATATATATATATACACACATATATATATATTTCACAGTTATACTCTTTCATATGCGTATGCCATACTTATATTTTTATTTTCATATTGCATTTTGTTGTATTTATATAGCTTACTCTTATTACATTCGTTAACATAATTACTTTATTATTGCTTTCTTGACTGATTCAAGTGATTTTCTTGGATATAAGAAACTAAATACCAAAGGTTACGTCAAAATTGCCCATTAATGTGTCTGTCAAAAGTCTGTCCGAATGTTTTCACATTTTGTAATTGTCTTTGTAAATGATAAATGACAGTTAATACTGATTTTTATGAATGGTCTTCCCTTTTGATACCAAGGTAGAAAAATCCACAATGCACAATCTAGATTCATTGATAATGCAACAACGGTTTGGAAAACCACCTGGAATTCCATCTTCATGTCTGAAGATGGAATCCAGGTAGATTTCGAAGCTTTAGTCTCACTTTCAATAAATCTAGTTTTTGAACTGTGGGACTTTCTACCTTACCTTTTTTATTTTTTATTTTACCCATCATTCTTATACTCATTGATTTTTCTATGACATCTCCGCGGATCAATAAGAGAACATCCTCAAAACAGTCGTCATAAGTCATACCAACAGTCATAGGAAAACTGGCTTCCCCACAGAC